CTCCTCCTCCTCTCTGCTCCTCCCCCAGCCTGCCAGGCCTCATGCTGCACTCCACTTTTTACTTTTTTTATTTCCTCCTCCATCTTCATGGTTTTCGCTCTGGCAGGAGAACGAGTGATTTTGTGTGGAGGAGGAATATTAGCGAGGACAAACTTGAATTCTGTGCTGCTTGAGATTTCTTTCATTAGAGACAGCGCGCGGTGGAGGGGAACCTTCTGTCCAATCCTTTCTGTTCTCCACTGGATTCAGTGTTTAAGCTCTTCTTCACAGATGTTCAGCAGCGGTTTGAGTCAGCAATGGACGTCACACACACGTTAAACAATTGAAAAGAAAAAATCCCTCTGATGCTGATGGGAATACAGTTTGGACTGTGACAGTTTACACAGGGAGGAACCAGAAACTGAAGTTCAGTCTTAATGCTGAACTTAACGTCCCTTGGCCTTCCTCATGACGAAACACTCCAGTTGCAGCCAGATGGACCAAATGACAGCAGCAGCGGAGCTGGTGGACCCTCGGACATCTCAGCGCCCCTGTACATATTTTACATAGACAGATAATGTATAACTAGTCCTTAGTGCTAATTTAGATGTTGACGTTTTCTCCATGGTGTGCCTTTGTCAGGGTTTTTCAATGTGTACAATTTGTAAAGTAAAAGTCAAACCTTGCTGGGGACAAAGAACAGGTACTAATTATGGAGGCGAGCCGTCCATATTACCAAGAGTTCACACGAGCTGCCTCAAGACCGGCCTCCAATGATCGTCAAATATACAATCATCCATATACCCTGTTGCCTGAAAGTATTTATCCTGTACAGCTAGATAGTGCAACACAAATCTTCTTCTTTTCAAACACTTTCCAAAAATCTTCTCTTCAAACACTTTCAATGTATCAACATAAAGAGTGCAAAACACTAGGGGAAACGCAACCGTGTAAATAGCTCCAAGCTCTTTTTGTTTGCTTGTTTTTTGTGCTTTTATTTAGCTCTGTTTGTCAATTATTTTTAGTATGAACTGCAGCGTTTTAATTTGTTTACACAGTGACAAGGAAAAATTGTGTAATAGGCAATAATCCTCTACTCTCAAACTCCTTCGTCAACCACCGATTTTATTTGTACAGCGAACAGGGAGAACACATCGCTGTGTCAGCTCGGTGCAATATGATGCCAACTCCTGAGTTGCCTGTTAACATAGAGATTTAGCTCTCATTGATTACCTCCAACGACCATTTGAATTGAAAAAGAGGCAGTGGACAGTGTGATGTTTGGTCCTATCGCACGCACGCACAGAGACACACACACACACACACACACACACACACCTTGAGGCTGTCGAGCAGCA